TATATCTAAATATTATATTTATTAATATAATAATTTTAATGAAACTACTGTTTAATTTATTCTTAATTATTCGTATTCCGTAAGTAAAGTATAATAATATTAAATTATTCTAGGAGAAAAGGTAGTTAATTATATATTAAATTAATATTTCGAAGAAAATTAATAATATACCCGTAGTAATAATACTAAACTCCCCGGATAAAATAAACGTCGATATATACGTATATACAAACGATAAACTGCTCTTCGATTGGAGAAAGTAAGGGTAAAGCCGGATTAATATTACTAAAGTCTATAAAATTATTAGTAGAATAGAATAGTATATCCCCGGGTCTCTATTTCTTCCATTTATTAATATAATACTTATATATACTATACTTAAAGTACAAATTAAACCACCTCTTATAACACAAAGTACACTCCTCGTACTCGATATTAAATATAATATCGTTAAATATATCTAAATAACCTTTATTACAATTAGGAAGTGCCTTATTTTATAAATAATAGCTAGGAAGAAAAGGGGGATATTATTATCGAAGGGGGGGGTTAGAATAAAGTATATACTTTCAATTAATTAAATCTTCTAATTAGGGTTAAGGAATAACGAGGTCCGGCTATATAATATTTAGATCGGGCGTAACGGGCGTTAATAATATCTTGGTAAAACCTACAATAGGACTTTAAGGATGTAATAGTATTAATATTTATAATAACAAAAACGGGAATAATAATAGGATATTATAAGGTGAGAAATTACTACTAATACTAGCAATACTATTTTCACCGCCTTAGTAATAATCTTTATTTTCATCTATATATTAATCGTCCTAAATATACCCTAAATACTAAACTAGGTTATAACTATCAATATTTATAAAGTCGCTATAGCGCCGACTATTCTCGTATTACTAATAGAATATTTATTCTATTAATATTAATATTAATTTTAATATTTGCTAAATATTATAATTATATTATATTTAAAGTCTTATCGGGCTCGAAAGTAGCATTTATATAATATATATAGAAGGCTACAAAGTCTAAGCTTCGATAGCGGATTATGACAGGCCAAGGGTGCATATACCGAGGTCGCCAAAGCCACCAAAAGATGGACTATGTTCTGCTTGCAAGGCAGAACTAGTAATGCACACTATATAGCCAATGTTAACCCTGTGACACTACCTTCCCTTAAGCGAAGTCTTAACTCGTAAGACTTTAAGATAAGGCCCTCTCCGGCCCAAGGAAAGGGGCGACATTGTCGCGAAGGATTTATCGCCGTGCGACAACTATATAGCACCACCCGAACTAATAATAGTTCCAATGGGGTAGCCTGTGATATTTGGTCGCTCCGCGCCCTCGGCGCAGGCGGGCGGTTAGCAACGTCTTTCATTGAGCGCTCCTGTTTTCCCACGGCATTGCTACCAAGGTCCGTGACCCGAGCGCCGTGGTCGGAGCTCTCGAAAAACCCGCCTTTCCAAATGCCACTGCGGGGAATTGAACCCGCAGCATCCCACCGTTAAGCAGAACATACTATGACAGGCCAAGGGTGCATATGCCGAGGTCGCCAAAGCCACCAAAAGATGGACTATGTTCTGCTTGCAAGGCAGAACTAGTAATGCACACTATATAGCCAATGTCAACCCTGTGACACGGATATTCCTTAAGTATACTAAACTACAATCTTCACACTCAAACTAAACCGGACTATTATTATTGATATTATTACTATTATTAATTATAATTACTATAGGACTACCCGGTACTAATATATTAAGGGATAATAATATTAAATTATATAATATCCGAAGAGACGGTATATATAATATATATTTATTATAATAGTGGCGAAGACGGTAGTCCTTACGAATAATTTTACAAGCTCGTCGGGCTTCTATTATAAGGGGCGAATTCTATAAATTAATACTTCTATAGAGAAACGAACGCCCCGATATTTATAATATTAAAATTGGAGCTAGTATTTATAGTATTACTATACGTACTTAACTATTTATAATAATATTCTATATTAGCTATTAAAGTAAAATAATAAATATAGGAATTAAAGACTATATATAATATATTAAAAGCGCTATAGAAGTATTCTAAAGGAAAATAGGAGGAATTAAAATAGTAAAGGGAATTAGAACGAGCCGTTAGGGAGCTAGGTAAGTTAGAGTAAGGGCTATAGAAACTTCTTAAATAGAAACTAAAGGAATTAGAGCCGGAATAATAAATATACTAAATACGGAAGCAGCCGGGTCTATTATACTAATACAATTACAAATAAAATTTATAGCCTAGGGTAAATTCGTTTTACACCTTCCTTAGACATTATAATACTAAAAGTATTATTAGATTAACCTATTTAAATCCCTCTTTCTAATAAATTCAAATAAAGGGAGGTTCCTCTTACAATTTCTATATTACCTTAATTTAATATCTTCTTCTTCTTTTTAATAGCCTTATCTAAAGGGGGGTAATTATATAAATAGGAGAGGCTCGGGGCTAAATAGATCGAGAGAAACTATATTCTACAATAATATATACTGTAATATCTATATTTATAGTATTAATTAATATAAAGAATATAAATATAATAAATACTATAATACGGATAAGGAGATTAATTAGAAATACTATACTATATAAATAGATATTTATATTAATTACTCTAAAAAAGTACAATAATTATTAGGAATTAAGCATTTTAGGGGTAATTATAAATATATAAAGGAAGTCGGGTATATATAATCGATTATCGATTGTAGATTATCGCTTGAACGTCGGTATTTAAAAGTATATTAATTACTAATTATTAAACTATATATTAATTAAATACGATCGTTTATATATAAAGGAAGTCGGATATAAATAATTAATTAATATATAAATAATTAAACCCGGATATAATTAATAGAATATCAGTATAGAATATTATATTTATAAACTACAATAATTACTTAATTAGTAGAGGTAGGTAGAAAAAAAGATAGTCGATTAGGTAGTATCGAAATTAATTATATAGAGGTGAATATACGTATACGTATAAATTAGGAAATAATTTATAGGTTCCAAATTGCTAAGAGGCTACTACCCCCCGTAACCCCTAATTGTAAGGGTTAGGGTTAGAGGAGACAAATTTAGGGGAGACCCCCGGGGATTTCCCTTAAGTATATTATATTAGAAGAACCCGGGGGAGACCCCCGGGGACCCCCCTTAAATAATTAGGAGAAAAATAAACCTAGGGGATATTTTTAGGGACCCCCGATGGAAGGATTAGGGTTGAAGGAGAAAAACCCGGGGGATACCCCCGGGGACCCCCGTTAGATTTATTAATACGAACGTTAAATACCAAATACCTATATACTAATATAATTATTAAAGGCCTATATACCGCTATTAAATAGCCTATTCTAAAATTTACTAAGATCTACAATATATAATCAACCTACGAAATCAAATATAGAGCTTTATTTTGTATTATTTAGAAAGATAGATAGGTACGGGCCAAATAGACTCTGACCAATTACAGGAGCGGATTAGAGCAGTAGGAAATCTGACTAATCTAAGGAGCGGATAATTCGAGGGATAGACCAATCAAATGGACGGATGGGACCTGGAGCCGACCACTCACGGTACGAAGAACTTATAGGGGTCTTGTACTATTAGAAAGAAGCTCCGCTATACTCGCTCACTTCGTGTTAACACACTTCTTTCTCTAGACCATAACAGCTGCGCTTCAAATATGACTTCATTTTAGGACACCATTGCCTTGGAAATCAAGACAGTTTGCAGTCGGAATTATTGCCGCCTCTCTTTTTACGTGAGCACTTTGCGTCGCTCCACGAGACCAGCAAGACAGACCCCTTTGAGGAAATGGCGTTCCTGAAAAAGAAAAGTTCAAAAAGACGGCATGCGCCGAAGAGAACCCACCGTGCACAGACCACCCACTGTCGTACCTACGGGACCGAGTGGGTCAAGTTGACGAAGAAGCTAGACCCATTGCAGACAATTCAGGTACGGGCTCACCTCACCGTTCGGCACTTGGGACTTGCCTTCGCTTGTCAAGGTCTCATCGTATCCAAGGCATGCCATGGCAAGGCGACCAAAGTCGTGTTGAGATAAGCCAAATCAAGAAGAGAATATAAACAAGTCAAGGCAAGTCAGAGGGGTCAACGCTGTTAACTTGTATCAATTCAATCTTCGGTTTGGTACGGTAAATGTCCATACGGATAAAAGATTTCCACTTATGCAAGTCAACCAGTCTTTGGTGATCCCAAGGCAGGCAAGGCAAGTCAGACAGACCCCTGGCTTCCTGTGTGCTACGCGGGACTGAGGTGCATCTGTACACTATACTAAAGCTCCATCTGGGTAGGTGTGTTGATTACCGTCACGACAAAAGCCATCCATTTGCTTCACAAGGGAACCCCCTGAAGAGCTTTGCTCTGGGTGACTTTGGACCTTTGTTAGACTCGTAACTCGCTCCCGTCTCGGCCTCTACCTAGTCATTCGTCTCTGCCACTCGTCACTGGTGCATTCAACTTTTTTACTCTTTTCCCAATCACCTTTTCCCCTCTCTTTTTCTCTCCTCGCTCTCCCATTCTCAACCTCAGTCCTCGAGGTCCAGCCAGGCTGCCGGCAAAGGATATCTCCCCTTATTCTCCTGCCAATCGGCGGAGCTCTCATCGAACTTACAAGACATCAGGAACCAGGACCAGGATCCGTACCCAAACCCACCTTGACCGCTTGCCCAAACTCCGAGACCAGCCAATTGCTCGCCGTCCTTTCCCATCTCGCACGTCAACGTTCGCGCCCGAGGGAAATCTGATACGACTCTACTTTTTTTTCTTCCTTTTGTTTCCCACCCTTTTCTCCATTTCATCATCGCCAGTCGGTCGTCGTCTTGTTCTCATTCTTCTTCTTTCAATTGCGCTGGTGCAGCAATACCTCGACGAGCAATCCCTAAATACCCCCGATACGATACCCCCCATACGCCCCTGATACCCCCTTCGCGCATTCGGCTAGGTATCGTCTCTTACATCGCATGTCTCGCCCTGCATCCCTCGACTAGCCAACAAATCACAACACCCCCCAAAAAGTAAAAGACGATGCCCAGCTTGTTCTCCCGCCTCAAGCACAAGGACGGCGCCAAGTCCAAGAAAAAGGGCGCCGACCTGGACTCCTTCACCGAGCAGCTGCCCAAGGGACCCCAATGGACCGACGCCTGGACTCGCACAAGCGTGGAACCCGAAGAGGTGGTTGAGCTGATCATCCTCTCTACCGAGGAGCTCAAGTCGCGAGGTATGACATCAATCAATCTGGACCCTGGCATATGCTGCACCTACCCTTTGCGCCTGTGCAGTACATGCCATCGCATCTGCTGGCTTGGGCATTTGGTTTTTTGTACACCCCGACTGCCTGTCGTCCGAATCAATTGTTAATTCGTTTTTCCCTACAGCTCTCGATATCCCATTTTTCCTGCTCCCCTTCCGACCGACCTCCGATCCCAGCGCCGTTCGCACCTTTGTGCGACACTTTTTTGACAAACAAAATGGCGGCCCAGCCATCCGCGGAGAGGCACTCCAGCAGGAGCTGCGCATGACCGAGCCCATGGTGCGCTTTCCCGACAAGACCAGTCATGACGAATAATACATGCTGACTGTAGTGGTGGTACAGGTTATTTCGGGTGTGATCAAGTGGTGCTGGAGTCGATTGGAAGGAGGTGTTGTCGGTTGGGATGCATATGAATTGTTCAAGGTCGGCGAACAAGATTCCAACATGGCCAGAGACTCCTTCAAGACATTTATCCCGTTGAGCGTCGACAACAGGGCCCGTACCGAAATTATCTTCCAATTCTTCGATTTACTCTCGGCAGTCGCAGCACATGGTAAAATGAACGGTTTTGGAGGGCGAAAGCTTTCCCGCATGGCGGCTTGGTGGGCATTTGAACACGATGACGGCGGGCAGGGCTTTGAAGGAGGATACAAATCGTGGTTAAAGGCAGCCGATGCGACGAGCCATCTGTTCTTCGCCTATCTCCGTTGTCTAGCCCCCCTTCCGACTCTAGGCGCCATCTCGACCCTTCCCCTATCACTACAAAAGCTTTTGCAGGAAACCGAATACCCACCACAGCGACCGGCCTTGTTGCAATCGTCAACTCACAAGGTCGCCATGATTGTCGAGACAGTATCGCCAACACCATTCGCCCTTCTCCGACGAGCAAACCACTTTCAGTATCGCGAGGAGGACAAGGCACTACGAGAGTGGTCCGAGTACGATGACCCAGTCCAGGCCTTGACTGAGGAGTGTCGCAGAGTCCTTAAAGCAGTCTCTGCTGCAAATCAGTCCCAGGCGGTCTCGAGCACAAAGCACTCGACTAGTCTTCGGGATGCTTCGTGGTCAAGATTCGAGGACATGGGCTTCTCAGGCAGTATCGAGGAGGATTCCACCGACGATGAAACTACCTTGGCTGCTAAACGCGAAAAGGCCATCAAGGCGCAGATTGCAGCTAACGCCGACATGGGACGCCCCACAACCCCCTCATGGGCCGACTTCCTGTCTTCAGGGTTCGACGACAAGAGTCACGGCTCGCACAATATTTTGCTTCCGCCTGACAAGATTCTGCCGCCCATTGAGACAACTGTCCGTCAAAAGAGCTCTGAATCGCATAAGCCCAGATTCGAAGACGCCCTGCAGCCCGGTGAGCTTGCTAGCATTACGAGATTCGACCTCGATGACGCTTTCTGGTGGGTATGGATGAGTAGTCTGGCGCCCGAGGAGACTCTAGAAAGGAAAGCGGCGTTTGGCCGTTGCGCGGTTATCGAAACTCTCATTCGTGCTGGGCGCTGGCTGGTCATGGAGGAAATTGTCAAAGGGGCTGCGCCTGAGGTTGTTGAGGGTGCGTATATCGCTGAAAAAAAGGGTCTTTTCAGCTGGACTCGCCGTAACAAGAATCTCACCAGAAGGAAATCGACATCTGGCAAAAATGCTCTGGAAAAGCCTGATGGCAACCTGAAGGCAAGCCACACCACTGGTTCTCTTGGTATCAGCAAGACAAGCGTCGGACCGGATCAGCAGGCCAAGATTCAGGCTGCTGCCTACCAACTTCAGATGCAGGAGAAGCAGAAGTCGCAACCTCAGATTGTCCAAAGACGCGGACGCAATGACGCGGAAGTTATGGCGGAGAAGACAAACAGTGTCTTTACCCTTCAGCCAAGCATTTTGAACGCCGCATCGCCAGCTGTCCAGTGGGCCAATAAGTACGACCAGGACCGTGACGCAATTCGTGAGGCCTACTTGGCTGACTCGAACGCTGGCCGCGGTACTTACGGCTCTTCTTACGCTTCTAGCCTTGGTCAGAGCTCGACAATGGAGATTTCCCAAGCTGCGCCTGAACTGCCACCAAAGTCGGCAGCTCAAATGGCTGTCCAGTCCCCAAGGTCAGATTCGCACCCAGAATACATCGGAACGCCAACCACCGTCAAGTCTGGAAAGGGACAGATGATGGAGAGGGCGGTTGAGGCTCCTCATGAAGTTCATCCCGCAGAACGCCATTCGAATGTCAGCCGGGAGACTCCGCTTGCTACGCCAACCAGGGAATCCAAGAGCATGGACCTGGTCCGCAAGAGCGTCGACTTTATGCGTGAGACTATGGCCTCTCCAGAGTACGTGGATGACAAGAAGTCCAAGAAGCTTCACAAGGAGCCCAAGACTAGTGGAGGCGGTTTCAGGAAGCTGTTTGGTCGCGCTAAGAGGTCGTCAAAAATTGCTGACAACACGCCTGATCAACTCAATGCCATGATTGCCGCGAACAACCAAAATGCTCAACATCGCAAGCCAGTCCCCCAACAGCCCAAGCCGGCTACCCCCGAGAAGCCTCCCATGCAGCGAGAGGAGACTCAGTTTGTGACTCCCCGGGAGGAAGTCACTGACCCTCTGCCTGCTACTCACGCCGCTGAGCCTGTCCAGGCTGAACCTACTTATGAGCAGCCCCAGCGGGATGTCGAGGAGACTTCTCAGGTCAATTCCTTCGAAGCCACCCCGCCTCAGGAGCACGTCAACCAGTTCAGCCAGGGTCCTTTGCGTGACCAGCCTGCCTTTGTCCCCGATGATGATGATGCTTCTGAAGAGATTGTCGAGGAACAGCAAGCTGCTGCTGTCCCCGCTCCCATGTCCGTCCCCGCTCCTACACCCGTTCACATTCAAGAGCAGAAGCCCATGATGAGGGAGCGCCCCATCTCCGAGATGACTGTTTCTGAGACCTCGGGCTCCTCCATCCCCAACAGCCCTGAGCCCGCCCCGGTCAGCCCCACTCCATCGAACCCCCAGGATCGCTGGGCCCAGATTCGCAAGAACGCCGCTGAGCGTGCTGCACAGAGATTGAAGGAGGAGAAGATGAACGGCAATGGACAGCCGCTCGATGGTGCTAGGACACTTCAGCCGCCCAGAGCGAGGATTGAGTTGGACGGCTATAGCAGTACTGAGGAGAGTAAGTCATCTATCCGTTGAATTTCACAAAGTTACAGAGTGAGAGAAACGCTAACATGAGAGAACAGCCATCGAATCCCGCGTAGCCCGCATCAAGGCCCGCGTCGCCGAGCTCACCAACAACGCAGAGCAGAACGGTGGCATCCCCCCTCCTCCTCGTCGGAACATCCCCGTCTACACTCGTCGCTAGTTGCGGCCGTTTCAGCAGTGCATTGATTGCAGCGGAGATGCCGCAAGGGACGTTGATGATGATGACGATGATCATGTTGATGGGTGGTAAAGATAGTCATCAGTGTGGTATGTGGTACGATGTCGCTGGGCGATTGTGTGTTGGAAAGGAGAAAGAGAGAAAACGAACGTGAAAATACCCCCTACTGAAATACCCCAACCAAATCTCTTAGAACTCTAATTCTCTTCCTATCTATCTATATCGGCTGGTTTCCTATATGTATCTTTGTTCTTTTTACTCTACTTCATTTCTTGTCCATGTTCATGTTCTCGCCCTTTTTCTCCCATGTTCAATTGTTGATTTCTCTGGGAGGCCGGACGGTAGCGGTATGCGCTGGGCGCGTGGGGGCCAGGCAGGCAGGCAGACAGCAAAATAACCTAAATACCAAGATGTTTTCTTCTTCTTGTTCTTCATGATTTGTTTCTGGTCTTTTGTCTGGTGAATGCTTTATATGGACTGAGTGAGGGTTAATCGCGTTCTTTTAGAGGGCGCTAGGCAGGCAGGCAGGCGGCCCGACTTGGAGCCAAGCTTCCAATCCCGAACAGCGCCTCCGGCGGTGGCTGGCGACAGCAAAGTAGAGCAGAAGCTGGGATTATCTGAACCAATAGAGGCGACTTTGTGCTACTGGAAACTGTTGCTACATGATGTCAGTTCAGTTGCCGCCCTGGTCAGGAGGCGTGGTGAAGGGGTACCCTATAGCCCAATGTTGATACTGTGAGGTAGGAAGGAAGGAGCTAAGTACTCAGCTGTAGTGTGGCATCCAATGTTCAGCCATGTTTGCCACCTAAAAAGGTACAAGTTTGTCAAAGTGGAAATGGGACTTAGTAGACAAGTACCCCAAAGATGGAGAGAAGGTGGAGCTGGATTGTGGATGTATACTTAGTAGGCAATCATCGATACTGATCTTCTTCCAAGTTGGCTACATATAGGTGTACCCTATGAACCTCTTTTCTTACCATCTCATCTCATCTCATCTGCCTGCGGTTTCTCGCATACGGCAACAACCTGATATTCTTCAGCTCGACACACACACACACACACACACCACAACCGTTACCTGACTTGATCACAACTAGACTACTGTATCATCGTCAGATTGCTGCTTGCCAACATGCAGAGCGCCGGCGATACCCTTCGGTGTTGGGACCCGGAGACTGGTGGTGGTGAATACAGAATTCCGAGCAACACGTGGAGCTGCGCAGAAAACTTTGGGACATGTGATTGTCCCCCGCTGAAAGCTGACCCTGACATTGCGGGACAAGGTGTAGGTCGGGTTTTTTTTTTTTTTTTTTTTTTTTTGTTTTTTTTTTTTTTTTTTTCCCAATCATGCTTCCAGCAATATAACTGCTAGTGCTGCGGCCAACATGATGGAGACTGATACCTTTCTCTGCTTACCTAGGTAACCGCATCTTTGTTTATATCTGCCATTATCACTGCTTTGGTCAGTCTGGTTTGCATCCTATCAGCATCAGTGCATCCACGCGCATGGATTGTCAATCGCATCGACGCCCGAGTGCGCCCGTGGCTGGGTGAACTCGTCGGCAAGAAACTGGATGAACCGAATGCCATCAAGATAGCAAAGGTCTGTTACGACGTGGCCCTCTGCTTGGGAGATCAGCAACTGGTTACCTCCATCGCCCTTCTTATTGCAGCAATCAAAAAGCTCCACATCGACGGGTCAATTAGCGTCTACCACTTTACCTACGTCATGAACATTGCCTTTCTCACTTCGGCAGCCTATATGTACACAACCATTACCCATTGGAGTATGAAGGACATGGATGAACCAAAGGATGATAATGGTGATGATGATGATGATGATGATGATGATGACGCCCCTGATACCAAGAACCCCAAGCCATTCCTCACCTGGAAACGACTCCGAAACAGATTACCATGGACGTTGAGATTGCTGCTCATGTACACCCTGCACTTATTGCTGCTCTACAGCAGCCGATCAGCCGCCCGCGAGGATTGGAAGGTACCCCAAGGCTGTCCCGCGCTCTGTGTGATGAAGAACTCCCCCTTTGGCGGGGAAGGAAGGAAGTGGATGATGGTGACATATCTTTGGATCATTTCATCTAACATTGCCGGCCTAGTTGACACCTTATCATTCTTCACTGGCAGGATCTGGCCCTGGTGGGTTCTTTACATGCGTTCAAAACTTATTGATGAGAGGAGGAGGCTCCCAACCACTCTTGGATCAAGAGAGGAACGCACTGAGCAAGCAGATAGTCTTGTGATGACGAGACTATGGTCATGGTTCCCGATGACAGTGAAGAAGAGATCTCCGACAGACCTGGGAATTGTTTACCGCAACGGGTATCATCAGATGGACGCTCTTCCAACCGTGCTTGAAGATAGCCGGCCATCGAGAATCCTTGTCACTACACAACGGCACTCCAGGAGCCAATCACGAGATCCAGAAGGACAATTATGCTTTGCGACCGTTCTATTTACTGGGCGGTGGATACTTCGACCAGTCAAAGCCGTCCTTTCTCGCCTTTGGCTGCTCAAAACCTCAAAGTTCTGTCAGCTTCTCGAGACGACAGTTTGGTTCTTCTTGTACTTTTTATGGGCCGTCAAATGCAGGTTCTTGGGCCAAGACGCAATGGACGAGGAGGAATATGAGGCCGAGCGAGCCATGGGGTTTGGGCAGATCATTTCTGTCTTTTTCCTGATCACTTTTGTTTTGCAAGTGTTCGACTCTCTCAAAGGTAAGTGCTTTACTACCTACCTACTCTACCTAGTTCTTTGGAAACCCACCATGATCCTACCCACCTCTTTGTACTTCACCTACCTACTGATCCCACTTTTAGTTACTTTTATGGTGTTATCCTGCTGACGACTCGATTTTGTTTTTACCCTGACCATAGAACATTACAAGGATACCTCCATCGAGGATAGAACTGGGGCGATGACATCTGGAGCATTTGGTAGCACTTGCCCCGTAGCTTCAGGTACCAGTCTGGACAACAGCCATATGAGTATGAACAGCCTGGCCCCGAGTATAGGGCCTCGTGCTAGAGGGACGTGGTAGCCGCACAGTCTCTTCTATCGACCACCGCCCATTCCACTGAGGGCTTTTTTCTCTTACATCCAATTTGTCAACACTCTCATGACCTGCCCAGACGCCCCCATCACAACCAAAGGCTTCATCGACACCGCGCATCGGCCCTGTACGGTTGGGTGGGGGTTGAGTTTAAGGCTGAAGTAGATCAAGCAGATCATTGCTGGTTTAATTGTCAGCTCGAGACTTGCGCCTCCTCGGACAAGGGATTCCGAAACTCCCATTGGTTCAAATCACCCGAAAGCCAGGGTCATGAATGACAATCGAATGTGTCCTGCACACATGTACCAGGATGCTATTCCTGGCGAGCCTGGCCATCTTGAAAGTGGTTGAAGATCCATCTGCAAGTAAGCACCAGGCCTGCATTCAAACCAAAGGTGAATTGTTTGTGAGTGGCAGTGTCGCTTGATCAGCCTTTCGCCATGTTTCTCGACGTGGGATTTGTTGGTTTGCGCGCTTCCTTCAATACCTTACCCTTTTAATTATCTGGTAATCGCTTTCCGTACCTTATTTACTGACTAGCCCCTAACTTTTTAACCTTCAGGAAACACGGGATTCTGACGGTCCTTCCTGCATACCTCTACAAAGTCAACATGGAGTCCGAATTCATTCGTTGCTGGCGGGAGGCAGATGACGGAAATCACACGCGTGTTTACTACAACATCACGAACGACCAGTGGAACTGTGCAGAGCACTATGGTCATTGTGACTCTTGTCCCAAACTTCAAGGAGATCCTGACATAGCAGGGATCGGTGTAAGTCCCTTCCTCCCGTCAATGAACAGCAAGCATAACTACCTTATAGGAGCATGCAAAGCCATGGTCAGTCACTTACAGAATACATGATCAATAGCTGACAATATGACAATCTCCCAGGTATTTGTTGCGTTTATGGTCTCCGTTAGCCTTACCGCTCTACTGGGCATTATCTTTCCCGTATTATCCGCAGCACTACGACCGAGGGCTACTGTCATTCACGATTGTCTAGACATCCTTCTAGAAAAAGCCGCGAGAAGAACCATTCTCATAAGACTGGGGATCAAGAAAGCCGAACGCTGGGCGTTAATATGCTACAGTTCGGTCTTCAGCCTGGGCGATCAACAACTCACAACCGCCTTCGCCCTGTTGGTAGCAACACTCAAGAAACTCTACAGCGATCAGAGCCTCAGCGTCTATCACTTGAAGTTGGTCATGAACTTGGCATGCCTGAGCAACTGCGTCTACGCCTACGCTATCATTTCCTTGCGGATAAAGATGGATTTGAAGCAGCCCATCGATCGCGCGGAAGGATCCCCGGCGCCGCCGCCGCCGCGGCGGGTGAAGAACAAACAACCCATGGTGAATTTGTCCATGCGGTTGCGGAGCATCCTTATGCTGACGGTGACGGCGTTGCTCCTCTACACCGGCTGGATCGCGGCCAGGGTCGATGGCCTGGAACCCAATTGTCCAGCTCTGTGCTTCAAGCATATCCCAGCAAAGGGCGAGGCAGCAAAGGTATGGGCTACACAGTATTGGATCCCTATTTATTACACACTTACAATTTCTTTCACGCAATGTCTTGCGATGTCACGAAAGAGATGTTGTCTTCTCCAGAAGAAGGCCACCAAGAAGCATAGGTCGAACCTCTTTGAAATATTTGGTGTTTGTGGTAATCTATTACTGGCACATGCATTCTTTATCTACTACTTGTGTCGTGTCGCAAAGAGTTGGCGAGAGAGGAACCAGTCCTGGTATGTTGAGGCAGACATCCAAAATGAAGAGAGTTGGGGATTTGGGCAAGTTGTCCCAATACTTCTCCTCATTCAACCTGTTCTTCAGCTGTTTGACTCCGTTTCAGGTACGTACCTACCCTAGGGCCGCATGTCTCCAAATTCTCTTTTTCTTGCTTGCCGTTCCCGTCGGCCGGGCAGGGTTTCCAGTTTACACTACCGTCGGTTCTGAACTTCTTATCTTAATCTAAGAGACTAATTTTACTCCTTTTGGCAGAGACTAAAGAAGAAACCCATGTGCAAGATAAAGTAGAGCGAGGGACTCAGACGGAGAGCAGGGTCGAGCACGACGAGGTTGAGGACGGGCCAGAAGGGCGATCAATTACACCTTCAAACATGGCTTAGAAAGCATAGAGGTATAGTTGACAGGAAGAACGAAGTTCAGTACAGTCCACGCGACGGACCTCTCGGCATGTGTCCTATATTAAATCCCATTTTGTGATAGTCAATAGATACAAAGCGGCAATGCCCTTCCTCTTCTCCATGCAAGCAGCCCGAGAGATCAAGAATATCGAAATGGAGGTGGAATCCGCAGACCTGTAAATCAGCTGTTGCGACACTTGCCCGATTCCTAATCGCCTTAGGAAGGAACAAAGGAGACTGGAAGTTAGGTGGATAACCAAGGGAAGCAGCCTGGTGAGGGGCGGGGAGACATAATAATCTGCTTGTCCCGGGTGGGATAGGAGTAATTGCTTGAACTGAGGAACTGAAACAAATTGAATTCTCCTCCTAGTAAACATCATCCCTTCTGCCCTGCCTCTTTTTCACTTCACCATCACCATCACCATCACCATCAACATGACTGTTTGCCAACACTATCGCAGGAGAAACTGACCACGACGCTGAGTCTCAAGGCGCGGAGTTTCCTAACCGTCGCATGGATCACAGGGCTTATCTTGAGCTAAGTGGACAAATTTCCTGCAACAGGCTCCTCGCATAATCCGAAGATGGCGACGATGATACCTCTACCAACCGAACACGATCACCATACTATCTGTTACACAAGTGTGCAATATGCTGGCCGACGTCACACGGGCGGTGAATGGACTGCATGCGACGACGACGATGACGACGACTTACTTGGATTCCGCCCTTCAGGCTCGTGCTGTCTCCCCTTCCTCCTACACAGTAGGCTCCTTTTGGGGGCTGAGTATCAATGTGGCGCGAAGACTGAGTGGTGATTGGCGTCACTGAATGGTTACCTAGAGGTAGGTTCCCTCAGCTGTGCCTTGTCGTTCGTACAGGCTGAGGTAGGTCGGTGGGTAAGCTGGATGATGATTATCACTGGGCCAAGCGTCTTTCATCTTAAAGCCCCTTCAATAACCGGTTCGTTATATTCGTCCCTTTTCCACTTCTCCTCCTTCAAGAAACGTAACATTTCGACAGCAGCAACTGTGCCTATCCATCATGGACGCGACCTTCATCCGCTGCTGGCGGGTTACGGAGGACGCCAATAACCCATTTGTTTACTACAATATCACGAAAGATCAGTGGAACTGTGCAGAGCACTCTGGGACATGTGATTCATGCCCTAGACTCCAGGCTGACCCTGACATTGCTGGCCTTGGTGTAAGTTTCTCCCAATCTTCTTATTCTGTTTTACCAGGCACCTATGCAAGCATTGAGAACACGCGTATCAACGCTGGACAGGGTACTCTCTGCTAGCGAGCTTATTGCTACCTAGGGACATAACTTGGTGGGTTGAAAACACCACAAGATGCCCCAGGACGTGCATCGTCACCCGGATCTACGGTTGGCAGTGAGTTTAAGGATGGAGACGCGTCTTTACACAGCAACTCGAGCGAATAACTAACGGCGGGGATGATTGAACATTCCGATAGGTAATCGCTGCTTTCCTGGTCTCCGCTAGCCTTACAGCATTGCTGGGCATTATCTTTGCCTTACTAACACCTGTCGACCACTCTGGAAGAGGGGAGACCAACGACTATCGAACTCTAGACAATGTACTGGCTTCGTTTCTCAACGAGCCCATTGTGAGACTCCTCGGCGAAAAGCACACGGGAAAAATGTCAAAAGTTATCTACGATATGGTTATGTGTCTAGGTGATCAGCAACCTGTTGTCGCGCTTGCCCTTCTCGTCGCAACCTTGAAACAACTCCATGTCGATAAGAGCCTCAGCGTCTTTCACTTGCAGTTGCTCGTGAACCTGGTATTCGTCAGCACAACCGCCTTCAGCTACACAATCATATCCTGGCGTGTTATGCGGGAAAGGGGGTTCTACGGCAATGATACACCCCCGGAGAACCACAATACACCCTCGGACAATAACCAAGATAGCCCCCAATCTTTCTGGTGGCGTCTGCGAGATCAATTACCGATGGCGATGAGGGCTTTTGTCGTATTCACCCTTTGCATCTTACTTGTATACACCGGCTGGATCACATCAAAAACGTATGGCCTTGACATGAACTGCCCGGCGTTGTGTTACCAGGGTGTTGCGATATTCCGGCCTGACCACACGTACCCGTTGGGAGACAATTGGATCTGGCTCATCAAGGTATGGACGTATATTTCCGGATCCGTGCTTGTCAGTTGGCTTTCGGTGTCCTCCATCTATCCTTCTTACGGCGTACTCCCTACGATCTACCGTTTGCATGCCGAAGCCCAAAACAAGGGTTCGGCATGTACCGTCTGGATCTGGAGACAGATTTATGCCGCCTACCTATCTCTAGCGGCAATATCGTTTTATTTTGTCGTCTTCCTCGTCCACACATTGAATATCTGGGGAGGGAGAACCCGTTCAGACTTTGCGGAGGATATCAAGGATGAAATGAGCATGGGGTTTGGGCAGATCGTGCCCCTCTTTCTTCTCATACAGCCTCTTCTACAATTCCTTGATTCCATCAGAGGTACGTATCTAACTACATGAGTTCTGGTCCCCCCCCCCCCCCCCCCCCCTTTTTTTTTTTTTTGCTTTTTTTCTTTTTTCTTTTTTCCCCACCGCGGCTCCTTTCTCAGGAAAGGGCCCTAACTCCACTCATTCGCCTTTACCTACCGCCCATAATAATTCGAACCTATCCAACTAAAGAATGGTTTTGTCCCTTGTTGTGGCAGAGCATTATAGGGAAAACGAGCAGCAACCCGAGGAGGAAGCGGCATCTGAGAACGTTACCATCAACAATGAAGTATGAGTCTAGACATCACGAAGCCCACCCCCACCTCCACCCCCTCCCCCTTGAAATAAAGCTTATCCGAGGGTTATCAGGATTGGACTTTGACTGAGAAAAGGTTTTTTTTTTTATTTTTATTTTTGTGGGAGCGTAGAAACTCACCAGACGCATCAACCAAACCTACCTCTATATTATATAACAAGTTGTCTAAAAAATAAAAAAAAAAAGTCTAAACTTTAGATAAGAATATTACCGCCATTTTTGCGTCAACTGCTATAGATTATCACATACACTTTGTTTTTAAAGGCCTCCCTCCCTACCTATAAGTGGCCGAATCTTATAGTCTAGTCAAGTCTCGTCTAGTCCACCTGCATGCACCAAAAAAGACAAGAATTAGTACTCTCTCTTTCTCTCTCAACTATGCCAATTGAACGAGAACAACTTGTAACCGCTTTGAATCGAGGTGGAAGAAAGTATATCAAGTATGAGATTTGCATGTTTGGAACCACCGGGGTTTTTGTCGTTGAGTGTCCTGAGGAGTGTATCTAGGCATTTTGTAGAATGAGTTTCTGGAAGAAGTACACGTAAAACTAACAGATTAATCACGCTCCGACTTCCTGGGCATTTGCTGCTATGGTAGCAGCGGCTCTAACATAACGAGACAACTTCTTTCCACTTCCGTTTAAGAAGAACCAACAAGAAAAAACTACATGCTACTGCTATATACTCAAGACCGCTAACACATACATAGGCACACATACACATACACATACTGACAGACACGCTACGCTACACACAAAATTCGTACAGCACACACCATGTTTAGATCAAAGAGAAAAAGTAGAGGGAGGGACTTGAAGAAAGGTTGTGGTGAGAGAAGACATTAAACCAACTTTTTGTCCCATTGCATTACCTCGCTCCCCGGTTCCGTCCCACGTCTAAATAACTCTAAAACGCCAAACATGCTACGACGAAAAAAGAAGTTTGAGACCGTGGCCGCCACCCTTTAAAAAAAAAAAGTTACATACAAGGAAAGAAGAGAGAAACATTGAACTCCAAGATGCAAAGTTGCGGAGGGAAGAGGTATTGGTAGGTAGGAACAAACAAACAAACCCTTGAGTGACAAAAAAAAAAAAAAAAAAAAAAAAAAAAAAAAAAGGACACAAGAGAAGAGAAGAGAAGAGAGACGATCCCAACCCAAGAATTACTACTCGTCCTCAAATGCAGGGACACATATCAACCAAAGCAATGAAGAGCCTCCTCTCAAGCCTCCTCATCCGATTGCTCTTGTTGCTGTCCCTGCTGCGCGAGCTCCTCTCGCTCCTTCATGGCTGCCCGCTCATTCATCCCCCTAAAGGCCCTCTTTCCGACCTCATAACTGCTAATCATTATGGCACAGGCCGGCGCCACTTTTAGCGTACGGGGTATCCATCCCCTGAAGAGGCCGGCGACGCCTTCCGTAGAGAAGATATGCCACAGCAGTCTTGCCATGTTCCTCTCCTCCGGTCTCACGGCGCTCTTTTCCATCGTCACCGCAATAGCAGCCTTTGTTGCAGCGCCCGTGTCGCGGTAGACCTGTGTCCTTGTCTTGCCAACATCGAAAGGCATGGTGGCCACGCTGGCGAAGGCTCCGGATAACGCGCCGGCGATGAAGCTGTCGGTAAAGGTCTCGGCGTGGTTTTCCCTTGATTGAGACCTCCGACGGACTCTGTGGCGCTCTTCGGAATCGAGGTCGAGTGTCCTACCACGTCCCCTAGAGCGAGCCTCGCGCGCATCCGTCAACTTTCCTCGAATCGTCTCATATCCCCACCAATACATGCCGGAAAAGGGTACGTCACGCCAGAGGGTGAGTGTCAAACCCCTCCAGAGCGAGCGGTAGCCGTGCGCATAAACCATGTCCTTGATGCCCCTAAAGGTATGAGTGAGGTGTGACCCCGTCGTGCTGCCGGGGGAAGCCTGCATGCGAGTGCGGAATAGCTCGATAGGCCCGACGGCTGTAGCGGCGAGAATACGAGCGCCCGCACCGGCTACCAGAGCTGCATACTCCTCCTTGACGGTTTGCTGGATCGGGCTGGAAGGGTTAAAGCGCAGCCACTCGTAGCCGGTAAAGTAGATGATGTTGGCAGGAATGGCCATTAGCAGGGTTGGAGAGAGACCCCGCCAGAGCGAGGTAAAGCCTTCGTTACGGGCGATCTTGCGGAGACCGTCGAGGGTGGAGTTGAAGTTTCGTTGCTTTGTTTCTTCGACAGCGCAGGGGATAGCACTAGCAGTGATAGCGCCAGAGCCGATGCGCGGCCCGGCGGCGACGATGCATCCTTCCGAGTTGTTGGCAAAGAAGACTTCGCGGCAGCAGGCGGTCACGCCGAGGTTCGCGGGGCGGAACGCGGGGTTGGATATTTGTGAGCCGGCTAGTTTCGCAAAGTCGGTAACGGTATGTGCGGTTGGTGACGGCCGGGTAAAGGATTGGGACTGCCATCGGACTCGCACGACGTCGAGGGGAGTCACGAGCAGGCCGGTGAGTAGACTGCCGGATGTGGCGGAGAGCATCTTTTGGGCGGCCGTGATCTCGACGGGTTCGTTCGGAGCGGTGTTGTCTTGGGCAACGGTGGGAAAGGCACTCGGGGTCGGAGAGGCGGAAGAGGCGGACGAGGAGGAGTCGTGGCGATGGTCTATTATCCTATCGAAGTCGTGGCCTGCTGAGGAGTGCGCGCCTTGTAGAATGGAAGCCATGGTTGGCAATCGAGAGTAGAGTCTCACAAAGGCCCGCGGCCGGCGTTTTGAGAAGAAGCGCGAAGAGCGCCGGCAGCAAAGATGCCTTTGTCTGTGAGAGGAAGGAAGAAGGAGACTGCACGGATGCTGTGTTTCTGTCGCGATAAGCAAAAGCACGGGCACCAGCAGGAACAGGACCGGATGACAACCAACGTCAACAAGATATTGTAGGTGGTGGATGAGGAGAAGATGGATAATCAAGAGAAGGGATGGGTGGTGTTTGTTGACGGAAGGAAGTTGACGCTGGCCACTCACTCGAGATGGCGGGAGTGAGTGAGGACTAGGTGGATGGGACGGGAATTTGGATGCCCTGCCCTCGGAAAAGTCGAGCGAAGCCGGAGATGTTATCGATCGGGGGTCCGAAAATGTTGCCTCGAGGGAGGCGTTTGCTCCCGTCCTCGTCATTGAATATTCTGGGTCCCCTGCGTGCTCTCGTGCAGCGCTAAAACGACTTTTTCTTAGCGCTGAAAAACCCCGCCCCTCTCACTTTGTTTCTCCACCTTAGCTTTGAGGTGACCCGCTCCTTCCCGACCGGCCGAATGCCCAACTGACAACCTCAATGGCTGGTTTCCCGCCAATTGTGGGGATGATGTCATCTCTTGGCTGCTGATGTAAGCAGTGGCCGTCAAGGTTATTTCTCTTATCAGATTATTCCAGGCTTCCGTTGATAAGCGAGCATCTGATAAGATAAAAGTCTAGACTCTGGCTCGTCTGAAATCTGGACTCACCTACATGGCTCATCCCGTCTCCACTGCATTGTCTCCAGTCGGTGCGTCACTGAGATTCATGTCTCATCGATGAAGATCCGATGATCGTATAGGTTGATCTTTTACGCATGCTTTCATTACCCCTCACACCCCTCTCGAGCCTCATCGTTGCAGAGACTAAAGCTAATAAATGAGCTCGAGGAATAATCATCATCCCCTCCCGAGGAGCTGAACGATAAAGTCGTACCAAGCCGTATCAGCTGAACCAGTAACAAGAGCCTCGCCCGTCGTCACGACCCTGAAACTTCCGGTCCGGTGCTGAGTGTGGAACTTATAAAACTCATTCAACGGTAACTTCTTCCCTGGACTTATCTTACACTACTTAACTACATACACTACAATACACCCCCTTTCACCTTATCCGACATCAACCCATTTGGAAGGAAAACACAATGAAAACAGGTATACCTGATCTCGAAATAAACCTCGCTGAAGAAAAACAAGGAAACTTTACAATGGCCCTCTCGACTTTCCCTAATCTCAACGTCCCTATCCCCGACCATTTTCCCCTTTTTTTTCCTTTTTTTACTGTACCACCTTCTCCCAAACACACAACCCCCTCCCCTAATGTCCTTCAATGATACCTCTCCACCAACGTAACCATAGCCGTATACCCCCTACAACACTCTCTACTCATCTTGTGTGCACACCACGGACACTTCACCATAGTCATAATAGCCCCCGAAACTCCCAGCGCCCGATCCTCAACCACCCCATCCGGCCTAGCTATGCACTCGTACACTTTGGACGGCATATCCAAAAAGAATTGGCAGCTGCAACACTGCACGAGGATCTTGGCAAAGGGCTGAGAAGAAGCTCCGCCGGCGGCCGCGCGACGAGCGGCTGCTTCTTTTTCCTCTGCAGTGGGACCGTGGGCAAGCGCGAGTGTTGAGGGGCGGGATGCGGGAGGAGGGAGATTGGGAGTGGAGTGGTTGAATTGGTGGAGCATGTGTTTGGGGACGGCCGAGAGGATGGGCATCGAGGTTGGGATGGCAGGCATGGCTGGGCGAGGTTGTTTGAGAATGGAGACTGGGGGAGTTGAGGCTGAGCGGGATGTTGTTGAGGCAAAGGAAGTGCTTGATGGTGGTGGTGATAATGGTGAGACGAGCGGTGTTGAACTTCGGCCTGTTGATGGTGGACTCGGAAACTGTGACACCGTCTGAGGTGAGATGGGGGGTACCTCTGGCCAATCCTCGGTCTGCCTTGATGACGAGACGGAAAGATCTGGATACGAGGCAAAACCTGCTGCTAGCGTGGTAAACTTTGCTCGACTGGAGCCGCCTGCGGCTGAAGAAGAAGAAGCAGAGGAAAAGCTGTCGTGCATGGGTGACGGTTCACTCGAGCTGGGATACCGGTATCCCGACTGCTGCCGTTCTCCGTTGACGGCTCGTGGTTGTTGGGATCGTGTGTCTCCTGCCTGACCAGACATCCGGGAACATGTCAAATTTTGCCGTCTCTTGCTCTTGGGTTCCTCCCCAGTCATTTCAAACCGTCGTTCTGTTTCCAAGATAACTTCAGCCTTCTCTCTAGCTGCCACTTCCGCCATCGATACCGTTTGATAACTCTCTTTATCTCCTTTCTCCCAGGAGAATGCCTGGTGCAGCTTTTGTTCATGACCCGTCCTTTCAGCACCGAAAAGGCCAGTAGTTTGAGTCCGCTTGGGAGACCTCGGGGGAACAATTATAGTGTCCTCAGTCGACGGCATGGTGGCGTGAGCGACCATTGATGCACCGGTAACGCGAATATTTGGATCAGAAAGTGATTTGGACATTCTGAGCTGTGGACGGGTCTCATCCCTTTCTTCCATGATAAGTTGACGTTGAGTATTGTCCTTGCACCTCGACGGTGGTCGACTGGAATCTGTTGGTGAAAACGACTCTGTACCAGCATTTGATCGCTTAGCACCGTGATTGGCCTTGACTTCACCATTGGCATTTGTGTTGATCGGTGATGTATCAAAGTCCAAGTCTATCAAAAGTCCACTCTTGATCCAGTCCTCACCCACCGTGAGCCCCTCATTTCTATCACGTATTTCTGAGCCATCCCGAGGTGTAGAAGAAGCCAGTGAGGCCGAGTCCTCCGAACGTTGACGGAGAGTCCGGTCGTCATCTTGCTTTTCCTCCACACTTGTCGGGCTGCTCGTGAAGTCATCGGCCACCAATGGCACGTCCTTTGAGGACTGGGGTCTCGACGTATCCGGGGTTGTTGTTGGCGAGGGAAGTGGTGATGCCTCATCGAATGCGGATGATGAAGAAGAGCCCTCTGAAGCATTGACCTGCGGTAACGCCACTTCCGTCGTCCTGACTACATTATCTGGTGTTGTATCGGGGGTGTGTTTGGATAAAGTTTCGTTTTCTCGGGCAATGGCTTGAGGAGAACCAGATGGCATTTGTTGAACGACTGGCGGGATAGCATTCGGCGTTGAAGCGACTGAAGGCTGAGCGCTCATTCGAGCTCGGAATCTCAGGTAAGGAGGTGCTTGTATAGGTGGCCTCACTACATCCGGCGTTGCTGAATGCCCTGTCGACATACCCAGTGCTGCCCTTGCGGCGTCTTTCAGACTGCGATTCTTCTTTGTGTGGCTATCTGCGTCAGAGTCTGCAACAGAAGACCCCTTGAGGCTTGAAGATGCATTGGTCAATGTGACAGATGCCTCTCCAAATGAGCCCTGCGATCTCGGAGGAGTTGGTGCTACTGAAGCCGGCGTAGGTCTACCTCCGGTGGCCATTGACGAGAGAATAGCAGCCGAATATGCGTGCTCCATGAAGTTAAAGTAATCAGTGTCTTTGGTTTGCTTCTTGTTGGCGGGGCGATCCGGCTTGGTGGCGGAGGTTGTTCTGATGCCAACGAACTTCATGGCCACACTTCTGGCATCTTGCGAAAGAGATGAGCGTCTCGTTTGGGTGGTCTGAGAACTACTCCTCGATGATGGCCCGATGCTGGAAGTGCTGGGTAGTTGACCGTCTGCAACCCCAGCCATTGCGCGGCTAGCGCTCTGAACTCTTTTATGACGGAAAAACCCGTCTCGGGACCGACCTCGTGTATCATCCTCCGATAATGATGGAGAGTCTTGCAACTGAGGGCCGGCGTTGCTGTCTCTGGGTTCGTCCTCTTTCCCCTTGAATAGTCGAGATGCCCCTTGTATTAAGCTATTGCTTCGGTTGTGGCTTGTAGCAGGTCTTGTTGCTCGTAGCATCGGAGTTCTTGAAGACGAAGGGGGGAATACCTCTCTCCGAGGAGATGGTACCTGGCCTGGTGATGAGTTAATAACACCTAGGCTATCCGACTGTGTCTGGCGCGGCTGTGGTCGCTGCTCCAAGCTCTCGTAGCGAATTGTGTGTTGAAGCAAAAGATGATCTTGGCGCTCACTCTGCTCAAGAGAAGCCTTGCTCATTCCTGAAGATGCAAGAGTGTGGTACGGTCGGGTATGCCGTTGCAAATCATCCGCTGATAACGACGTGTCGACATTTTGGGTTGTGACGAGGTGGGAGCTCGGTAACAGATGCTTGTTGGTGAGCAGCGTATCGGACATGGATCGCTCTGGAATGGTGAGTGTGGCGATCCTTGGGTTTTCTTGTGTTGGGCACCGCGGCATCGTCGGGGGAGGAGCCTTGCTCAGTCGAGCAGCCAGACGTTTCTTGGCTGCTTTTGCCTCCTTTCCTGCATGCTCTTTCTCCTTCTTCCGACGCTCCGCATCTTCCTTCTTTTGTTTCTTTCTTTCGCCGTAATGTTCCCAACTAGGAGACTGACAGATTGAAGACTGGTCTGACATGTTGGCCTCTTCCTCTTCTTCCTCGTCCTCGTCGGGTGCAAGGAATTTGACCTGCTTGTGTAGAGGCTCCGCAATTACTCCTGGCTGGACTTGACTCTCCTCTCTCCTTTCTCTTTGGTAGTCTCTTTCTCTTGTGAATTCGTATTTGCCTTCGGTCAGCCCTGTGGGAATCGTGATTGATAGTGGTGGTATGACAAGGCTCCGCCGGACAGCTTTGAGCATCAGGTAGTTTTGCTGTGCAGAGAGACGGCGGGCAGCTATAGGTGTAGATGGCTCCTGCTGATTAAGGGAAGAGGGAGAAGAGGGTGTTGGAGGAGAAAGAGAGCCATTGTGGTGGGATTGGTCGATCTGTTGGTGGTGGACGGATAACGGTCAGTGGTTTTACATGATGAGACATCCAGCCGCAAAGCCACAACCCATAAGGAAAGCGGTCAAGACGGGTTCCCACATACCTGGTATTTGCTTTCCAGCTCCATCATCCGTTCCAAACCGGTCAAACCACCCCCCTGGAGAGACTTTGTATCGGTAAACTGATCCAACTCAGCTGCCATGGTTGGTGATGGAGTGGGCACAGGACCGTGGTAAGGAGACTTGGTTCCTGGGATGGCAGAGTACATTCGAAGGGCGAAGCAGCAGAGAAGGAGGAGAGAAGCAAAATATAACAAAATAATGAGCCACACTCAAGACGTGCTTCCGAGTTCCGACCGGGGAAATTCGAGGGCTTTGCAGCGGGGAGAATGATTGAGTGGTGTGGACGATGATGGTAAACGCAGTGTTGCCGTAACTTCGGCCCCCGGGGTAACCAAAGACAGCATCTCTCCGCCTACCGGTACATGTTCTAGTATGTTATAACACTGCCGTCTCGACTGGTCGGGCCGGGGTGACCTGTCGAGAGTACAGAAGCAGCTGTCTCTGGCACGACGCCATGTATTGGAGCGCGTAGCCGCAGGCCTGGGTGAATGCAAGATATTGGGGCCACGGCTAAAATGCCTTGTCGCCAGATTGTGATCCGGTGGCAAGCACACTCACACACAAACTGGCACTTATGAGTCGCACTCAATGGCTGACTGTGAAGTCCCATCCGGGGGAGGAGAGGATCCATGGGTCAAAGCTGATGTGTTGTGTACCTTGAATTGTGCCACTCTAAGGAATTCCACTTGGTTGCGTACTAAGCGTCCCCTTGGTTCTGAGTAGTCTTTTTTCAATTTCTTCCTGCCTTGTCTTTTTAGAAGCCAACCAACCTCTTAGCAAGCGGTAGGTAGTCGGGTGTAGCTATAATAAAAGAGTCTTGTTTGTGAAACCGTACCAAAGAAAGTCCAGTTACCTAACCTAACCCGCATTCTCTGATCATCATCATCAGATGTCGGGCAAGGTTAGATTAGGCTGGGAAGGCTCTAGTTGTGGAGGGAGAGTATGTAGGTACTGTGCCACTGTGCACGGGATCGAGGGAGGACAAACAACGAACGACGACATGGCTTCGGTCCATTGCGGGTCGTCGAGGAAAGATGCACTAGACTAGCATCTGGTCTTGGGATTCTTCGTACTCAAGCTATACGAGAGAGCCAAGATGGGCCAGAGAAATTGGGGCCAGGAACAAGGCATTAGCAGTCTGCAGAAAGAGAACAGCAATGCGAGAGATGCTCTTGGACACGGCATCATGCAGAAAGCGAATACAAACTATGCCCAGTCGCGTCGTGGTCGACTGAAGAAAAGACCGCCTTCCGGGTTACTTAGGACGGACCTGCTCGGTGCTATTTTGTCCCTTGTGCAGAAGGGGTGCAGCCCAGCTTGCACAGGTACCGGGTAGTTCCATGGGACTTGTATGTCTTGGACCCGGAGTGAGGGTTGTGTCACGACATGAAGATCCGGAAAAAGAAGGATGGAGTCATTGTTGGCGTCAATTGTGTGTGCGCGTGAACCATGGAGCGAGAGAGAGGAGAGCGAGAAAAGGAAAAATCCCGTCAGAGTTGAGATGGTTGGGAAAAGTTTCGTCCCACCTTCCAGACTGCAAGTGACGGAACCTGAGGAGGATGTCATCCAGTTATTGTCGGGTGGTGTTAATGGGCTATCAGTGGGGGGTCATGAAAGTCACTGCTGTTTGTTAGTGATCGACCGGAGTTGCGGTTAGGTAATCTTAGCTTTGGGCAGGGCATCTGTCCAAGTGGGGTCACCATGATCTGCAAGCCTCGGCGGGTGTTCCCCTCCACTGCCACCTCTGCCAGGGGCCGTCAGGGCAGTGTGTCCACCAAATCCGACCACCCACACATGATTTCCACTTCTTCCCCGCGAAATTGACATTCTGTTGAAGCCTCCACCACTTCAACTTCTTCAGCTGGGGGTTTCCATGTCACTTTACGGTTGACCTCCAAAGTTCAATTGGTAATTCACCAATCTCGGCTTTGTCAACAAGCTTCCTGGGCTTGGTCTTGTCCCTTTCTTGTCCTCCTCCTCTCCTCATCGGCTGTCCTACCCACCATGGCGCTCACCACGCAGACTATACACGCGATGCAGCCCGCTAACGCACCACTTCTTCCATTCTCGGACCGCCAGATCGGCAAATTCGCTCACATCCTTTGATGGTTGCTTGCAGAAGTCCATTCTCCGAACTTGTCCATCATCGCAGACGCGTAGGCTACAAAGTCCCACAAGTCCAAGACGACTTACGGTGCCTGACTTTGCGTTGAGTGCCAGCAAAATCGGCATCAAGAGCCACACCAGATTGACTCGACCACGATCAGGGTTCTGGAAGAAAAGAACAATGCCACCCCTCTTTAGTTACCAGCTCTACCAAATGTCCACGTCCATCCTCAACTTGGCACGGTCATCCGCCTCCTGCCCGCAGGATATCATCGTTGTGTCCATGAACCATGGTCAACAACATGGTCAACGAGGATTTTTGCAGCCACGTACGACACTCAACGGAGTCCAGAAGCAGTTGGCAAGACATGCTCCCCGTGTTTCTGATCCAAATTGCTGTACGAGTGAAATGGCGTGCTTCCAATGGGAATCGCTTGATGTTACCGACCACAGATGCTGATGATACACTGCAGTCGTGCCTCACCCTTTTCTCCGCCTTTGATGGCGCATCCGGACGGCCACCAAACCTCCCCCGATGCTGCTCTGTTCCTAGCCATGGCCTCTGCCTTGTAGCCTTGCCCGTCTGGTACACTTCCACCGAGGAAATGGCCGACTGCTGCAGCCAGGAACGCCCAGGAACCGAGAGTACCACAGCGTGCCACAACGGTTATAGCTTCGCGGAACTTCATAGGCCCTCGACCGACATAACACTGGTGGTACCGAGCACAGCAGGTTCAAGTTGCCAGGAACAGCTTCTCGTAGCTTGGAGCTACTCCCTCGGCCGAAGCTGTTGTCTGGCAAGGTAAGTTGGCAAAGGCAGGGCTAGCAGGGGATATAGCTCCTCAAAAGCCTTGCCCTTCTTGATGTTCCTACCTGCACGGGTCATCCTGGCCTTGACAAGTCTGGAACAGGTTGTCGATGCCCATCACAAATTGAATGTCTTGCCAGGGATTCACCGGGCCCGAGACGCCCAAATTGAGGCTCACCACCCAAATTTGGCCATGGCCGCTGGTTGATGGTCACCCTCGATACTACAGCAAAGTCTTGAACCCAATCTTGCCATTACCCGCTACCGCGAGGATATCAATACTTTTGCTTGAATTTCCTGGTACAGCGCTAGGCCGGTGATATTAACCAGCGTCTTTTACCAGTACGCGAGAAATCATCCCTGCGGCAACCAACTCCCTGGCCCCCGGAAGCGAAAGACCCGTCTGCTGCAGAAAGTGGTTATATATTGACATTACGTGTTCCTCGTCAGACCTCAACACATATACTTTCCGCCCCTAGTCAGTTATCCGGCCGTCTGTCTACTGCGCTCCTCACAACCTCTCGCCCGAACATGCTGAAAAGGGGCTGCCTGCAATTGGCCCGTCCATTTCGCCCATTCTACCCCGCAGGGAATACAATTGCTGCTATTCTTGTGCGCGGAATAAGCAATCAATTTTCGGCAGGCCGGCAACCGGCAAGCATCACAGTGAAGCAGCAGTCAATGGCTTCAAGGCTGTCATCTAGCATTTTAAACCGGTATGCGGTGAACGCCGTCTACTTGGAAACCAATCTTCGCCATACACAATTGTCCTTTGTGTCGGTTGCTGTTTGCTATGCTGATATACTCCAATTATCCGAATGCTAGTCATACTCAATTCCTGGGCATGCAGGCCGGGATACAACTTCAAGGGCATAATCAGATCACAATAATCTCCCCGATCCTCACCAAGCTTACTGGGCAACCACATCTTCATCCTCAAACAGGCCTTTGGTAGATGCCGGGTATTATTGAAATCCAGGTACGGCCTTAGCACATCCCACCGCCATTTCCCTGGCCCCGGTGGAACGCGACAACAAGGCTACACTACTCTGCCTCTTCGCTTACATCTGGCACTTCCTCCTTGTCTGGACTGATGTGCACCCAAATTTCATTTCCTGCACCCCAGTCGACCAGCCCTGCAAGGGGCTTTCCACTTCGATCTCTTGGTATATCACGGCTCGGTTGTGTTCTCCTCTTGGCCCAATTCCGGGTGCGTAGCTTGAACTCATGGGGAATCTTTAGCCGAGCGGCGACCCATTTCTCGTTGGGCCGGAAATCGAACGAGACCTCGTTCGCCGCGCCCTCCATGGCCGTCAGCAGCCCCTCTTCAAACGGCCAGGCTTTGCTGAATTTGGCATGATGTTGTTCTGGCAGCGTCATTCGGAGAAACTCAAGTGCCGATTCGACATGGAGCTGGATCGCGCGCTTAGGATTCACAAGAGACTTCATGAGCAGTGACATCCAATTTGGATAAAGGACCGCAAAATCCGCCGCTGCCAGATGGACCGAGCCCCGAATCGTCGTCATCCACGAGGGCACGCCCGCCTCCCGGGCCTCGAGACAAATGTTCTCCACGCGTTCGAAATTGTCCTTCCAGTGCATGAAGGCCTCGCTACCAATGGCCAATATCGGCTTTTGGATCTTGTGCTCCTCGCTGTCGGCCTCGGGCATTGCTGGACCCCACGCGTCGAGCAAGATGCCCTGCGAGATCCACGTGAAGTCTTCGCGCAATCTGAGCACTTGGGCTGTCGTTGCTCCTCCAAACGAGTGACCCATCATCGTCACATTTTGCAGGAATAGTCTCCCTGTCCAATCTTCCCAGTCGATGCCTATGAGCCCCTTTGAGCTCGAGCCTTTGTTCCCTTTCTTCCTTAGATTGCGACGCGCAATCTCTGCTCCTTGCCCGTCGTTGATCATTCCCAAGATGTGATATGCCTCTTGAATTTCAGCACATCTCATCTCTATTTGTGCCAACCGTAGCTCGGTATCCACTCCGGCTGGATTATGCGGCCGAGTATCTTGCGCGTTATCCAAGGGAAACAGGTAATCCACCATGTAGTAGGGCTTCTTCTTGCCGTTCTTCTTGCGTCGTCGTTTCGTTTTGAATGCTGAACCGTCTTCCTTCTCCCGTTCCGAGTTCGACCTCCGGTCCAGATTCTGGCTGCACAAGTCCGGCGACGACCCTTCCTGATTCACATAGGTCCTCGCTCCGCTTCCGTCTCGGTGCTCCATGGCGACCACGATAAATCCGTAACTGGCCAGTTCTCCACAGATGGTACTATACACGGTCCTCGACCCGCCGAGGCCATGGCTGAAAATGATAACCGGGTACTTTGCTCTCCGTCTCCGTAACTCCTCCGCATCTGGTACCGGTCTCGGTCCCCAGACAAGCGTCAACTCGCTCGTATCGCTGAACCCCCTATTCAGCGCCTCCTCTCCCATCTCTTCCGGCCCAGCCAACGGCGGCCCATCACTCAGCTTCGCATTCCGCCACGCCGGCAACTTTGTAAACATACTCGTCAAAGCAAAGTACGAGGCAACCGGCGCCTTTGGCATATTCGCAAAGTTGGCGTACCCCTTACAAGTCGACAGTCTCGGCCTAGGCAGCCAGGTCGGTCTCGTCAACCCCACATTTCCCTTCTTTCCCCCTGCCTCGTCCTCCTCATCTTGTTTCCTCCCTGCTGCACTATCCCACCCCGCCCAGTTCCCACTGCCCCTACATCTCCTGATGCGATCCCTTGTCATGATGGCTTTCTCCTTGGGCTTCTCCTCCGGTCCTTCGCACGGGTAATAGACGGCGAAGAGGACGGTGTCGAGCTTGAGCGCAAACTCCCCGTTGCGCTTGATATGCGAAAAAGTGCGGGGTTCGCGGACGGGAAGCTCGAGTTCCATGAAGCCGACGTTCAATGGGCCCGTGTGCGGAGGCAGAGCGTGGAAGATCTTTTCGCGGAGGGTCGGGGGTGGTGCTGCGGCTCGATGAGGGGGCCCAGCTTGGTGGGAGGGACGAGAGGGGGCGCCTGTGGCGGCTGAGGTGCGGATTGTGGAGGTGCCGGCGTTAGCATTGCGGGTGGTGGTGGCTCGTGGGGAAGGGGGGTGAGGTTGTTCGTGGTCATGGTCATGTTGGGGTTGGGGTTGAGGTGGTTGAGGTGGTTGAGGTGGTTCAGACGGTTGAGAGTAAGAGGAGGAGGAAGAGAGGCGGGGGAAGGCGGGTTGGGAATTGGGTGTAGAGGGGCGTGAGGAGGCAAGTGAGGAAGTCTGTGAGTAATTGGATGACGAGGGGTTTGGAGGGTGTTGATCTTCTGGTGGCGGCATTGTGAGGGAATCTGGTTGTGTGTTATTGGTAGGTGTGCTGGTTCATGGGTGACTCGGTGTTGATGGGTTTTGTTGTCTTTACGGTAAGTCTTTGCCCGGTTTTCCTCGCAGTGAATATTGGTGTGGCAAGCGGGTACCGGTGAGTTTAAGATGCGTCTGATGGTAATAACCGGAGACCAAGGCGACCGAGGTAGACGTCGTGAACGATGAAAAGTGATGGATGATGAGAAGAGTCGGTATAAGTGTCGGGTCCGGTATGTGACGCGGTTGTGATGCAGACGTGGGTTAGCCGGGATTAGATTAGTGGTAAGTGTCGACGAACGTCGTTACGGTTCAGCTTTGATTGTGGCTCCCCAACAACTGAAGGGATGGACTTGGTGCAATGCCTCTGTGCTCCTTCCTAATCCAAGAAGTCCTTCAAAGTGAAGTGAACGCCGATATCCTCTGCCCTGCCCTCCTCGGTCCTTCTGTCCTTCCTCGGTCTGCTTGTTCGTTGCGGTCCAACACCTAGACTGATCGCCAGTGCCGAATTCGGAAACAACGTCGATCTGATGCCAACGTTCCCAGATTGAATGGCTCAAATTGTCCTTTTATCTTGTCCTTGCAGACGGGGTGCAGGGCCAATTACCCAAAAATTGATTCGGTATGCGGTCCAGATTGCGACGGAATTAGTAGTTTTTTTTTTTTTTAGTTTTGGTTTTAGTTGAAGTGTCATGCGTGATGCAATCAATCGGTATCGGGCATACAGTGCACTAGATATGTTGTGTATGTTGCACTGTTGTGTTGTATTTTGTCCGTTGTTGCTTTTTTTGCTAGTCGGGCGTCGTCGTTTAGGATGAGTTGATTTGAAAGGTGTGTTTTGTTGTGCAATGGAAGCCGGTTTGTCGTTCAATTGTCGTTCGTTTGGCGGTTTGGCGGTTCGTTCCGTTTCGTTGTCTTCGTGTCTTCTTCGTATTAATTCGCTTTGTAGAATGTTTTTCGGATACCTAGGTATGTATGTATGTACCTATTACCGAGCTGTGCAGTACTGTGCAGTGCAGCGGTGGTGGTGCATATGTCGTCGTCCTAGAGGTAATCCGAATACCTAGGTACCTAGGTAAAATAGGTAGGTACTGTAGATGATTTCATCAGTATGGTGGAAAGAAAAGATCCCTCTGATGACTGTATATAAATTTCAAGAAAGCGAAGGGGAATTTTCAGAACGGGCTAGCTTCAAATGAAAACCAATCGATGCCGGCAGAAATCAGAATGCGGTGTAGCTAGCGACGCTTGAGCAATTATTCAATGGAGCGAGGTTGGTAAAACAAAAAAAAGGTGAGTAAGTAGTGTTGTAAGTGTAGGTGAGGCGGAAACCGACTGGAGCCAAGCAAGGTGTGGTGTTGGGATACCGGGGTTTGAAGCGGGTGCGGTGAAGAGAGAGAGAGACCCTACCTAGACTCTAGACCCTAGACTTAGGACCCTGAGGCGTTCCGACTTCGTGGATGCCAGAAAGAATTGGGATTGGTTAGTTCCGTACCTTGCTGGCGGAGCTTGCTTGTGGTGTGATGAGAAGAAAAACGTGTCTGGCAGCGGTCGGTCGGTCGGTCGGTCGGTCGGTGGCTGGTCGGTCTCAGATTGCGAAATGTTTTTTTTTTTTTTTGAGTTTGGACTGTTTTCTCGTAACTCGTTCGTGTGATGTGAAGTGGGCTTGGCTTCGCAGGGTATGTAGTGTAGTGTAGGTATGGGGGTTAGCGTCCAGATTGTTGCGACCAGAGAAGGAACTCCGATGAATTACTCCGTCCTATACGTAGTTGGAAATCTTCTGTGGTTCAGTACTAGAAGCGCTGATAAGTGTAAGCACTACCTAAAAGCTGGATAGGTACAAATGAGGGAAGAAGAAGAATAGTACCAAAAGGGAAAAAAAGGTGCCATATGAACGACACAAGGAGAAAATCTTCACATGGATCGATCGA